TCATCAGAACAGATGTGACAAAGATGGGAGAATGGAATAGAGTCTCTACAGGAAGCAAGATGTATAGTCCAGGTAACTGTGAGAGTCGATGGGTTTGTAGTGGATATTGATGACCAACCTATCCTCAGAAATGGAAACAGAGATGCTGAGGAAGGGAAGGGACAAGTCAGAGATGGACCAGGTGAAGGGGAGAGCAGGGTGTAAATTGGAAGCAAAATAGATAAACCTTTCCAGTTCCAGACAAGACAAGGAAGTAGTACCAATGTTGTAATTTCTGAGCAGTTGGAACTGAACGTTGTGCAGTCATCACTGAACATCCCCACTCCTGACCTTAAGGTGGTGGGGAGGTCATTGATGAAGCAGCTGAAGATGGTTGGGCCATCCTCAAAAAAAAAATCAATCTTTTCCTAGCTACATCTGTTCTGAAGAAGGGTCATCAGACCCAAAATGTTAACTCTGCTTTCTCTCCATAGATGCTGACTATTTTCAGCATTTTTTGTTTTTGTTTCTCACTTTCAGCATCACAGTTCTTTGGTTTTCCTGATGAAACCTTTGTCTGCACCTTCATTACATCAAAGGATAAACTTCTTCAATGGTCTCTTTGCTGGCCTTACCACAAATTACTACAAAGTAAGAGAAAGAATTGCGGGTGGGGGCCAGATTAGAATTGGAACTAGGAATGTTCCATGTACACTACAAAGAGACAGACATAACTGGGGCCCATGTGGGGGCCCATGGCCACTCTTTGACCTGAAGAAAGTAGGAGGAGTTAAAGGAGAAGTCATTCAAAGTGAGGATGAGCTCAGCCAGGCAGAGGAGGGGTGTGGTGGGTGGGTGGGGATGGTTCAGGTCTTTTTTCCAGAAAAATGCAGAGTCCTGACACCATCCTAATGAGGGATGGATGTGTAAATGGATTGCACGTCTATGGTAAAGAGGAGGCAGCTGGATCCAGCAAACAGGAAATTCTGAAATTGACGTAAAGTGGCAGAAGAATTGCAGCAGAAGATTTTATCAATGTAGAGTAGAGAGATGGGGAGGGTACAGCAGCTACACAGAGGTGAAAGAAAGCTGAAGAACTTGAAGAATAGAGATGTAGGTGAACTCACAGTTAAGGAATATTATAAAGTTTTCCATGTTATGTATGTCATAGCCTGGGAAATTGATGAAGTCAAGACTGGTGGTTGTGTTTTAGAGAGCTTTAGAGCATGGCTTTGGTTTTGGTCAGATTTCATTGCTGGTAGTTTTGCTTTATCCAGTTTGAAATGTCAAGCATCTCTTGCTTCAAACAGAATTCAATCTTGAACACAACTGCTGCATTACGCTGGAACATTGCACAGCAATTCTTCATATGGGACAGAAAATGCCAATGAATATTACTAAGGCATTGCATCCAAAATGAATACTCGGTCCTTTGATCCTAAAGAAAAGGATCTTTATTTTGGCTTCCATGATTACAAATCAGTCCTGGTTGAGTACAGTTCTTGTTTGAAATTGTTTTAGGATTCACGCTTCAAGGAGGCTGATTGGTATTTTAAATATCATTATGAAGCTACATTCATCATTGATATTCCTCCTTCAGGTAAGTGCAGTCAACTGGTTTTCCCAATCAAATATCATTTAATGTGTAAACTAGTGGAAGAATATGGTTCCTATGTACAGAATATTACCAACAGGAAATGAAATAGGCAATAAGTAAATCAAGATAATACCGCAAGAGTTCCTCAAAGTTTTGTTCATGGCCCAACCATCTTCAGTGGCTTCATCAATGACCTCCCCACCTCCTTAAGGTCAGGAGTGGGGATGTTCAGTGATGACTGCACAATGTTCAGTTCAACTGCTCAGAAACTGAAGCACTCCATGGCCACATGCAGCAGAATGTGGACAATACCCCGGCTAGAGCTGTTAAGTGGTAAATAACATTCATGCCATAAAGTGCCAGGCAACGGCCATCTCCAAAAAGACAGAATTTAACCATCTCCCTTCTATGTTTGATTGCATTAATATTGCCGTAGCCCTGTAATCAATATCCTGGGGATTACCATTGAATAGAAACTGAACTGGATTAGCCATATAAATACACTGGCTCCAAGAACAAACTAGAAGATAGAAATTCTGTGGTGATTAACTAAACTTCCTGACTCCCTAATGTCAGTCCACCATCTATAAGGCTCAAGTAAGGAGTGTGATGGAATATTCTGCACTTTCCTGGATGGGTGCAGCAAAAAGAGCATTCAGGAAGCTTGACTCTATCCAGGACAAAGCAATCTATTTAAGAGAGAAAAGAAAAACTGCAGACCCAAGGTAGACGAACAGGAGGCTGGAAGGACATAGCAAGCCAGGCAGCGTCTGGAGGAAAGGAGAAGTCAACGTTTTGGGTATTATCTTGTTCGGGACTGGATGTTGGGGAAGGGGGAAGCTGCATGTACAGAGAGGGAAGAGGGGTAGTGGAATGGTGGTGATAGGTGGGCACTGGTAGTAGGTACGAGCTGGTTGGTTGATGGGATGGATGAATCCAGTTGGTGACTGGAAGGGGGAGTTGGTAGGTGGTATGGAAGGGAGGAGTCTGGAAAGGGAGCTGGGGAATGGGTGGGAAGGTTATTTGAAAGTGGAGAACTCAACTTTAAGTCCTCCAGGCTATAGGGTGCCCAGGTGGAAAATAAGGTGATGTTCCTCAAATTTGCATTCTGAATCGCTGTGACACTGGAGGAGGCTGAGGATGGACGTGTCAGAGGGGGAGGGGCATGGGGGTAGTTGAAATGGGTTGAGACCGGAAAGTTAGGCTGGCTGTTACAGGCCAGGTAAAGATGCTTGGTGAAACGGTCACCTAGTCTACGTTTGGTCTTACTGATGTAGAGAAAACCACATTGGGAGCACTGAACGAAATAGACTAGGTTGTAGGAGATGCAGTTGAAGCTCTGTCTCACCTGGAAGGACTGTTTAGGGCCCTGGATGGAGGTGAGGAAGGTGGTGTGAGGGCAGGTGTTGCATCTTTTACGGTTATAGGGGAAGGTACCAGGTGGGTTGGAGTGGTTGATGGGGAGTGTAGCGCGAACTAACGAGTGGCGAAGGGAGTGGTCCTTGCAGAAGGCAGAGAGGTGTGGGGATTGGAAGATGTTCTGGGCGGTGCAGTCTAATTGGAGTTGGTGGAAGTGTTTGAGGGGTGATACATTGTATGCAGAGGCTGGTGGGGTGGAAAGTGAGGACAAGGGGGACCCTATCTTTGTTAAATTTGGAGAGTTGGTTTAGAGATGTGGAGCGGGGAATGGAAGAGGTGCAGTGGAGGGCTGTCTGGATGACAGGGGGGAAAGAGCGTTATTTGAAAAAGGCAGACGTCCAGAATGTTTGGGAGTGGAACATCTACCCGTCAGAGCAGATACAATGGAGGCGGAGGAATTGGGGAAATGAGATGCAGTTTTTGCAGGATACAGGATGGTAGGAGGTGTAGTCGAGGTAGCTATGGGAGTCTGAGAGTTTATAGTAAATGTTGGTCCGTAAACTGTCGCTGGCAATGGAAACAGAGAGGTCAAGAAAGGTGAAGCAGGGATCTGAGATAGGCCAAATGACTTTGAGGGCGGGTTGAAAGTTGTTAGCGAAGTTGATGAACTGCTTCAGTTCAGCCTGGGTGCAGGACACAGCACTGATGCAGTCTTCAATGTAACAGCAGAAGAGTTGGGAACAGTCCCAGTGTACTTACTGAAGACAGACTGTTCAAAATAACTGACAAAGAGGCAGGCATAGCTGGGACCCATGCATGTGTCCATGGTAACCCCATGGATTTGGAGGAAGTGGGAAGAATTGAAGGAAAAGTTATTGTGTGAGGACTAGTTCAGCGAGGTGGAGGAGGGTATAGTTTGTGGGGGACTGGATAGATCTATTGGAGAGGAAAAGATCTGAGGGCCTGTTGGGTATGGACGTGTGTAGGGATCGTACCTCAATAGTAAAGATGAGGCGCTGAGAACTGGAAGTTACCAAAGAGGTGGAGGGCGTGGTTTGTGTCCCGGATGTACGTGGGGAGTGCTTGGACCAAGGGGGAGAGAATGGAGTCCAGGTAGGAAGAAATGAGTTTGGGGCAGGAGCGTGTGGAGACAATGGGTCGGCTGGGGTGGTTGAGGTCCAGGGTGGCTGAGAGGCCAGCAGGGTGTGTCCAAGAGGAAGAGGAAGGTTGGAGGTTGGAGGTTCGGGGTGGGAGGAGGGAGGAGGAGTCCTTGGAAGGTGGTTGGGAATCTTTATCAAAGAAGAAGGCATGGAGGCAGAGGCAGTGGAAGAAGAGCTCAGTGTCTTGGCAAGCACAGAACTCATTGAGGTGGGGGGCAGAGGAGCACAAACATGGGCAACCTGCTTGTTTGGAATCCCGTCCGCTACCTTCAATATTCAGTCCCTTCTCCTCCAACACAAAGTGGCAGCAAAGACAAGTTGCACCGTAGCAACTCGCCAAGCCTCCTTCGAGCTCCTCCTAAATCCATGACTTCTATTACCCAGTAGGAGAAGGGAAGC